TCAAAGTGTTTTACAGACTTTGAGAAGATATCAGGACAAGCAAGTAGAGGCAGGGTTATCTGTTGCACGTGGAAGTAGACTTCAGCATTCTGCCTGCTTGTGAGTTGATGCTGCTGTTCCCTTCTTTATTCCCTGCTTCATTTTGCAATTCAGACTGAAAGTATTTTGAAACAGACAACACCTCAAATGCATTTGTACAAAAACATAAAGCAGTCCTACTGCAGTGAGATTTCTGGCTTGTGGTACTGTTTTGAAACACTGTCAGATGTAAACAGAAAAACAAACAGAACACATAATAATGAAGTCAACCCTTACCACATATCTTAAAGGCTTGCACATACTCTTTTAAGAAATAAAGTCTTCTGTGTTTTTACAGATACAGAGGTTTCAACTGCTCTCAGAAGCCAGAGAGGCTAACAGGAAAACATAAGCATTGTAAGCATATCATGTTTAAAAACAAAAGGGAAAAAGCAAGACTGAAAGAAAGGTGAACATCATTTATTTAAAGGTTCACAGTTCTCTTAAATATGTCAATCAATGGTGTAAAAGCAGACATGTTTTTTTCACTCATTTTAGGTTGATGTCAAGAAAGGGTAAGGAGTGCATCTCCCATTCCCTTACAGATGAGCCTGTTCTCCTTTGCTCTGAATTGCAAATTTGAACCTGCATTGCACTAAGTCCTGGCACAGACTCAGGCATCACTAAGTGTCTTTCTTTGCAAACCTGCAGCCTGCTCTGCACTTGCAGCTTTATCCTTTCTCCCCACTCTGCCAGGGCTGGGTGTCCCTGAACCTGTGGGCCAGCATTTTCCTTGTTGTTCTCATGTCCTGTTCAGCATGGGGCTTTCAGGCTCACTACTTGATGGTTCTCAACAAGGGGCTCACTGAGGAGAAGGGACTCAGCATCCTTTGTCTGCTTCTGCAGACAGTCAGGGACCACCATGAGAAGGTGAGATTGAAATCGGAGGCTCTACACATTAGGCCCTTCAAGCAGGATTTTCTCCAAAAGTCACCTGTAAACATTACTGAATTGATCTTCAAATCGTCAGTTATGATAAAAAGTTACTCTCCAAATTACAGATGTGAAATTGAGATATGTACATTAAAGACAACCAAATCACAACCCCCTTCATTTTCTGTGAGCACTTTAAGAAACCATTGAGACAAACATGGGCAACTTCATCACTCCATGACACTGTTTGCTCAGAACAAATTCCTCATGGACTTCACTGCATTTGGTTCAAGCCAAAGTCAGGCTTAGTTCACATCATTTACAGCTCCACAACAAGCAGGGGAACAGTTCCTAAGAATGATACTCAAGTGCTTAAACCAAAGTAGTCTGTCTACATTTCCCAGCCTCACTCATCACTTCAGTCACAATGTGCAAACGAACCCAAAACTGTGCCTTTGTTATCTTCAAAAATTATGAATTCCTATTAGCTATTCTGTGCTGGAAGGAAAAAAAAAGTCTGCCTACATTAAAAAGCATAACATACTAAAGATGTATATACCGGAGAATTAAGGGTAACTCGATGATTTCCCATCATTTTAGAATTTGGATTATCCCAATAAAGGCAAGAATTGATGACAGAACCAGGCATCTGATCCTTTTCCTTGGCAACAGTGTTCCAACTTCTACGAGAGAAGCAAGAATAAACGAAGAGGAATCAGATTATTCCTAATTAGCTACTCATTTCTCTGTATATAGCTCACAGCCTTTTTTTTTGAGAGTACAATTTAATGATACAACTGATAATGCTTTCTGCCCACCCTATATCATTACTTTTCTCAACTTTCTGTCTTTTACGATACAAGCCTTAACAAAGTTGGAGACCCTGCACATAGCAGGGGGGAGTTGAAACTAGATGATAATTACGATGTTTTTCAACCCAGGCCATTCTATGATTCTATGATTCTGTGAAAACAATATGCCTTTCTTTTGGAATATATATATATAGCCTATGATCAGAACAGCTGAGTTCTTCTCTACTACTTCTTAGGCTAATACCTAATGAGAAAAAAATCTAAGACAGTCGTTAAAAGATGAACTAAAAGCACAGAGTAAAAGACACATATATAAACTTGGCAGTAACAACATGACAGCAAAAGTGTAAATTTATGTTTTATGTGCTGGTCACAGAGTCACAGAATCACAGAATCACCAAGGTTGGAAAAGACCTACAAAATCATCCAGTCCAACCATCCATCCATCACCAATAGCTCTCACTAAACCATGTCTCTGAACAAAATATCCAAACATTCCTTGAACACCCCCAGTGTTGGCGACTCCACCACCTCCCTGGGCAGCCCATTCCAGTGCCTGACCACCCTTTCAGAAAAGCAGTATTTCCTAATGTCCAGCCTAAATCTCCCCTGGCACAGCTTGAAGCCATTCCCTCTCATCCTATCACCAGTTATGCGAGAGAAGAGGCCGACCCCCAGCTCACTACAACCTCCCTTCAGGCAGTTATAGAGAGCAGTGAGGTCTCCCCTGACCTCCTCTTCTCCAGACTGAACAATCCCAGCTCCTTCAGCCTCTCCTCATAAGCCCTGTGCTCCAGACCCCTCACCAGCTTTGTTGCCCTTCTTTGAACCCACTCCAGGGCCTCAATGTCTTTCTTGCAGTGAGGGGCCCAAATCTGAACAGTACTTGAGGTGTGACCACCAGTGCTGAGAACAGGGGGACAATCACTTCCCTTTTCCTGCTGGCAACACAGTTTCTGATGCAAGCCAGGATGCCATTGGCCTTCTTGGCCACCTGGGCTCATGTTCAGCCAAGCATCAGTCAATATCCCCAGATCCATTTCCCCTACGCAGTCCTCCAGCCACACCGCCCCAAGCCTGTAGCGTCGCCTGGGGTTGTTGTGGCCGAAGTGCAGGACCCGGCATTTGGCCTTGTTGAACCTCATCCCATTGGCTTCAGCCCAGCTCTCCAGCCTGTCCAGATCCCTCTGTATGGCCTCGCTACCTCCAGGCAGATCCACACTTCCAGCCAACTTGGTGTCATCCGCAAACTTACTGAGGGTGCACTCAAGCCCTCACTGTGTACTCAATGCCCTCATTAATGGTCATTTATGGGAGTCTAATAGTGAGATATTTAATGTAAAGAACGTGGAAAAAAATTATCTGCTCATATATGCTCTTGACAGTAATTGTTATACTCTGCTGCTGTTACATATATGCAATTCCAATAAACAGGTACTATTTTAGGCCTATGGGATGGCAGAACAGTGAAATCTGTATGACATCTCCACTTAACGGGAGAATTTTGGTTTTTGCTTATTATCCAAGTGTCTGTGCTTCCTTTCCATTGTTCTTTTACTGCAATGTCTAACATCAAACTGTGTATTTAAAATAAATACACTGATTTTTTTTAATGTTTATGTTTATATTTTTTTTTTCTCTGTAGGAGATTTAAAGTTTATTCATCGACACTTCCCAAGTATATTTAAGTAAAAACATTACTATTTAACACATGCTCAAAACCAGAATGGGATCGTGCACTCACCATGGAAAAAATATTGCTAGTCTCATGGTAGAAACATTTTTTATGCAGAGTAGGACTGTTTTTCCATATAAAAATGAACATACATAGGTCAGTGTTCATAACCTGTACTCACAAATAAAAAAATATTGGGGGAAAAAACCATCTGTAATATCCACGGACCAAGTAGAACCTCTTTTGCTAAATTTTAATTTAATTTTGTTCCACTGAGTTACAAAAAAAATAACTTGAAGTATGTTTCAGAAAGAGTTAGTCTGTGTGCTTCTTCCTCACAACTGATACTTCTTTCCATCACCTCTTTTCAGGCTTCTCTACTTCAGATGTTCCTAAGACAGTGGGAGGCACAGTGCCTCCCAGCCCTCCTACACACAGATCTACGCCTCTGTCTTTCATTGTGTTACCCCCACTTTCCTCCTTCCCTGATCAAGAACACTTTTTTTCTTAGTCTACTCTTGTGAAAAATATGGTTCCACTCGATTCACACCTCCCCTCTTTGAAAGCATCTAGGAGCTCCTTAGCACCTGGACAGTTCTGACTGCCACCTTCCTTCTCCCTAAGGATATTATGGTGCAGGATGCAGTTAACAGAAAGGTTCCAGTATGATGTTTGCCTCCCTGTAGGCAGAATACTTAAAGCAAGAAAGAGTGAGGTGACTTTCACACAGCTCTAATGTTTGCCTCTAACAAAATCCACATTCACAAGCAGTGCTGCAACCACTGGACTGGGTTTACTCAACTGGCCCGTACCAAGTATTATTTGTACTTATGAGTTAGGATTTGTGCTGGCCCCAATACAGATGAATTATCTAATGTTCTTCTTTTACATATTTGCTTCAAAAAAGCTGCGAGGAGGAACTAGTCTTAGACTGCTTACTAGGAGAGGACGATTAAGTCCCTCCAGGCAGAATTACAACTTATTAAAGCTTTTGTTCATCCTCCTCCAATCTGTACCACTGGTTTGTTCAGCCAACTCTGACTTGCTTCTTCCTCAGCAATCTTTTTTCTCAAATTTACACATCTCTGCATTTACATTCTTTGTCCTTCTCCTCTTTCTCAATATGCTTAATATCTTTAGCCTATTCTTTCCTCACTGCTGACTTGTAGCTCCCTCAGAAACAAAATGCAAAAAAAACCCTGAAATCTGCCATGTACCGACACAGGCACTACACTGAGTGACTCGACTACTTTCTGAACTGTTTATTCAGTTCTTAGTAGAAGGAATACTTCTTTCTGTCAGTCTTTATCTACAAGAAACAAAATCACGGAAGAACAATGAAGGAAAATGAAGAGAAATGCTGGAGAATAATCTATAAAGTAGTAAAGAATTCTTTTATATCAGAAGACATTTCTTCTCATGTGCAATTGACAGTAAGTGAATTTTTACTATCAACTGTTTTACATATATATTTTACAGAAATATTGTATTTTAAGCATACTGCCAATTGCACTGAAATAAACTGTTTGCTGCTTTTAAGAAGAAATTCTTGCTTGCTTTACCTGAGCTGGTAGAAGCAGGAGACTTGCTGCGTCGGGATGGACCTGGGCTCTTGGTGGTGCTCCTTCGTGAACTTGAAGCTATTTTGGTATAAGAAGTAGATTTCACCACTCGACATTCTAAAAGACAAAGAAATTGCATAAGTTAGCAATTAAGAAAGCCAGCAAGATTCTGAAACAGAAAGAGCATGAAAAGCACAAACATTTAGCCCACGCTTGTTTCCATTCATCGTGAGGAGTTTTACGGGAAAGTATAAAATCTGTACAAATGGCTCCATTAAAATCCAAGTACAGTATGTACCACTTTTCAGACAAAGAACTGCTGCGGTAATCCAGACTTTCAGATACCATGGTTACTGCAGGTACTTAGAACAGCTTAATTTAAGAGTGCCGAGACAACACATAAAATTTATTTGCTTTTGAAGATTTCAGCACGAATAATGCAGTTGTTTTTTTTAAAAATGATTTAGTTGCAGTGTAAGCATTTTTGTCAGCCTAGTAGTAACCTCTGGAAGAACTGGAAGGCTGCTTTTATATATCAAAGTGTTAAGACTGTGCAAGATGACGCAGGTGTCTGTCACTCATGAAAGGTTTGAAGAAAGTGAAGCAGGTTTGTTGCTCCTGCTTAATCCTCTGGTGAGCAACAGCCCACATTGTATAGCACACGCAATTCATCAAAGGTTGAGGGAAATGGCACTACTTGCTCATAAGAGACATCAGTAAAATCAGTGAAGAGGCGAAATTACCCTCCCACTTGAGAACACTGCAAGATGTTCAGGTTAGGGTTTATATACACCCACACAGCTCTGTAGGCATTCTTGCATTACGCCTGCAAAATGGTTCTTGGCCTGAGGATGAAAGAACTCGGTGTGCATAAAGCTGATGTCTCGCAGTCATAATGGATACTAAATTAATCACTAGACAAATTATACAGTCAGGACCAAAAAAAATATTCCACTTCTTAGCCAGTATACAATTAGAAGTCTGCAGCAATGTTTATACTGCATTCACCTCAAAATGTCAGTATACTTCACTTGTTTAAACATAAATAAATAGACATTTATTTTTGTATCAGACCTGTTCCCCATTTTCTTCCCATGGTTAAGTTTCTCAAAATAGGTTAAGAGAAATAAACACGATTTTTTTTCTCCCTAGTAAGAAAATACTATGTGCAAGCCTGCACATTATTTAGTCTCCACAGACGATCAGTGAAGCCTGTAACATAGTTTAGACAGATTAGAGTACAAAGAAATAAAATTGAGCATAACTAATTAACTTAAATATCTCCACCAGTGAATGATGTCATGAAGTGTATTTCTCTTGGCCGCCCTAACTGCTTGTCTGTCGTCAAGCTGTTGAAGAAGATGGAAACAAGAACTGATGCATTACTGAAGGAATGTCCAGCACATCCGAGAGCAGAGGACCATAGAAAAGCCCTAGTCTTCCCAAAGAAGCTTTTCTTCCCAAACTCTTCCACGTTCCTAATGACTAGTAGTAGTAGTAGTAGTTAATTTCTTTCTGTTGACATTTTATGTGATTCATTCATTGCTAATCTCATTACATATCAAGTGACAACTGGAAATGGAGGAAAATGTCTACTCTGTTGTATGAGTTGATTATCAACTGAAAACAGGAAGAAACAGATGAAAGCTTTCAGATAGACTCAAGTAGGCAACCACATCAGAAAACTTACATGATGTACTTGCAGAAATGTGTGCTTCAGAAATTGTCTATACATTTCAAATGCAAACAGGTTCTTTACCTTGTTAACAAAGACCTAAAATGCCCAAACATCTAACAGTCAACTTCTTTGATTTTGTAAAATTATGATGCTATTCTAGTGTATGTCCCTGTTCACAGGAATCAGTCAGGAAGGTAATTGAATATTTTAGGGGTCATTGAGCAAAAAGGCTAAAATAACGTCATCTAGCCAAACGAAAACCATCAGACTATATTCACTTCCTTAGTAAAAAAACCTTACGAGTCCATGAGGAAAATAGCCATCTACTTAATGTAATACACTTTACTGTACATGAGGCTTTTGTTTACTTTCACCATATGAAGAACATGGTATCTGCATTCTTTGCTTGCAATTCATGCTACAGGTTGCACTTCATCTTTCATCTCATTGCAATTATTAATACCCACTTTTATTTTGAATACCTTATAACCACCCGGAGATGGAAAAAGGTTAGAGACAAGATTCTGCGTTCAAAGGTGCATTCCCAGTCACGTTATTGGAAAGGAAGAGACAGAAGGTGGTCAGAAGAGGTGTCTAAATGCACATCTAAGTTATGTTTCTGTCCTACAAACAAAATCGTGTCTCAATCAATATTCAGGATAGCCCTTACTTGGACCCCGCCTGTTCAGAAATGTGAAGTAAATAATAAAGTGGGAAACGAAGATGTGTGTAAATTGAAAGACAGAGACATTTTGTCACTGAGCCCAAACTGGAACACTGAAGGTTCCCTATGATTTTTTTTTACTTTGAGGACGCATAAGCACTGGAAGAAGCCTCATCCAGTGCTCTTTTCCACTGGAAGAAGCCTGGAGACATAGCAAAATCTCCACCCTTGGAGACATTCAAAAGTCATTCAAAAGAGACAGACCTGGAAAACCTTTGTTTGTTGGATAAAATGTTACTCTGCTGCTTGCTGCAGAAAGGTCTGAGCTCCCACAAACAATTTATGTATGCAATGATATTGTCACATTAAATTTGGAGAATTAAATTTTACTGCAGGCAAAAACCTCACCCAGTAAGGACACAACCATGGCTTGCCTCTTCTAAGACATTGCCATAATCTGCCTGTCGCTATAAGAAAACAATCTATACATAAAGAAGAGAAAACAAAACAAAAGTGCATTGTTTCTAAAACCACATTTTCTATTCAGTATTTACACTGGCAAATAAATAAATACTCTCTTCTCTTCATCTGATAACTCTGATAACTGTACAATAGGTGCTTGGCAAGCCATGAAATGGATTTTTTTTTCCCTAAATTTCTTTTGATGCCAAAACTACCAGAAATAGATCCAGACAGATGAGAATTATGCTCTTTCTCACACATGTGGGCATGCTCAGTGAAGAAGACACTATTTTTCTACAGTATGTTCAGTGAGGAAAGAAACATTTCATAAAGCCCCAATCCTTCCTCTCACTAGCGATGAAAATTAAAGCAACAAAATGATGATATCCATGGTAACATGAAGCAAAAGAAGGTCAATTTCAAGGTCCGATCACAAACTTTATTGCTTTCCAACTCAGTATATCAGATAAATAAGAATGTTTCTCCAGCCAGAACATCCTGCAATAAGATCTTCTATTGTATAACTACAGACAGAGTGACAAAGTAGGAGAGGTTAACACAGAAATTAAGCACTGAGACTAACAACATAACACACTGCAATGCCTCTCTAACAGGCATACTACCATGGGTGTCTGGGGCATTTAATGGATTTTTAACAATAAGGTTGAGAAAAAAATGGAAATACCCCAGGGCTACTACTTGACATGACTGAGACACCTCAGGGCCAAGATAAAGAAGGGAAAGCACCTGAGATTGCACAGTGATGCCACCGAGTGTGCCAGTTGGTACAAGGAGGAAGCCCAACATACTTATGTGCTCCTGATTCTTTCTATTGTCAAATGAATAAAATGTTAGCATATGGTAACCATGGGATGCTAATGCGCAGAATCAAAATGCCTCCAACCTCCAACTCTGCGATGTTCCACTTCCAAAATGCTTAATTAGCTTATGCGTTCATTAAATTTTACAATGGCAAGAAAGCAGCAGAGAATAACTAATCCACAATAAATACGTGAGAAAACGAACAAATTTAACTTTTTTTCTAGAAAAGGTTGTGAAAAGTTACCAATTACCAAGAATTACCAAAAATTAGCAAGAGATTCAGCTACTCAGAAGTTCACTGCATGAACTTCTTGAGTTTCTTTTCTGGGTGAAAATACCGCTCTCTGTTGCATTTTGTCTTCTTTGAGGTCTGTGTGAAAGGAACAGACATTTATTCTTTGGTATCCTTGCCAATCTGGTTCTTTAGGATGAGAACATTTAACTTGCTTCAGCGACAGCTGTATCCTACAGATAAGCAAGCAAGGAGGATCAAGGATGTCCATGCTTGTTGGTAAGCCACTTCACTGTAAGCCTTAGGCTGGTACCTTTTACCACTGCTTAACAATGTCAGCCTCACTATCCATGTCCTCAGGCCAATCAGTAGATCATTACTCCATATTTTTGTTTTTAATCTTGAGTGATTTGTTCCATGTTTCTAATTGGTAATGCAGCTAATAAGATTTTACTTTTTTGCTGCATTTATGCCTTCAATTAAAACCAGTAATCTTCTATTTGCAGCACTAAATTTCACTCTTCAGCAAAAGGGAAATAGCATCATCCTCTCTAGCGGCACTGATACATAATGCAGTTCACCCAACCCTACTGATGAATCAGAGGCAGCTATGGCTTGCAATTACAAAATGTTCATAAGGGTAACTATCAACCAGCTTCCAGAAAGGAAAAGGATATAAGGAGTTGTGCTAGGGTTTAAGTAATTTCTAATCTTCTGTTTTCATGGTTGTGTCGACTTCAATTTTGTTCTGCATGTCTTCCCATCCAATGTGTTTCTGATGTAGATGGACAGTGAAGTTTGAGCAGAATACAAAATCCTAAAGCTTTATCCCATCCATTAAGCTATCTGCTACTGTAAATACTCATTTTTTGTGACATCCTATCTTTTGATTTGATTTCTAACCACTCTTCTGCTCATTATGAGGATTAGGATCCCTGACTATTTAAAAAGTGACAAATTTTTGTAGCAATAAATACCTAGCTTTCTTTATTTATCCCTGAGAAACATGCTTTTATTGGGATATAAAATATGATAATGCTGAATTCTCTTTAATGTGAAAGGGTGTTCTCCAATTCTGAAACTAGGATAAGCATTCACTGACAAAGAAAAAGTTTCATACAATAACTTCCAAGCTGTTAGGAAGCCAAGTAGCTTCACTCAACCTAAGCATGTCTTGAGATGTTTGTACTTCTCAAAAAAATGGTTGCTAGGTTAGAAATAGTGAAGGTATTTGTGAATCTGACTAGAATATCATGTAA